GCATAATGAAAGGTTTACCATACATCCTTTCTGTATGAAGTGTTTGGAAGAAATTTCACATGCAAAGGCGGTTAGATTTAGTATTGTTACATGTTTGATTGTCAGCAAGCCATCAGAAAATCCCTATCTATCAGGTGACTAGGATTTTTCCTAATTTTTGCAAACGTAGATTATTGAGATACTCAGAAATCCTTGTACCAGAAGTACTCCTATCAGTTTCAACTACGTATTTATCCTATTCTTCCCATATACTCTTGTGCAGCTGAGGCTCATTCGTCTAGACACTGGTTTTCCGACCACTGAGTCACAGGTTCAAACACCGTCCCACTGACCAAAGTTTCAGTAACCAGGTAGTGTCACTAGCTTTCACACAATTGGTATGACTCATGGCATGTTGTACGAACTTGCGTCACCAACTCGCGTCACCTATGGCACCAACTATTGAGATATCCGACTACCTGTCAAAGGATGGATACACTGGGCTGCGCTCTGTTCTGTCCGGGTATGCGGATGTGAGACAAGGGCGTTGAAAGTAGGAGACATAAAGCCGATAAATAGTTTCGATCACACGGATCTCCGTAGAGTTGCTGGCGTTTGGTGGAATCACCGTGTGAACAATGTTAACGTCAGGTGAAGGGTATTAACTAGGCAAGTCGATCGATGAGGTTATGAACTCTCATCGACTGAGATAGTTTAAACATGTGTTGCACATGCCGAACCACTTCCTACCTCCACGTGCCGTGCTAGGGTAAATTGGATTAGGTTGGAAGATGGTTCTGGGTAGTGAGACCAAGACGTGTCACTAGTCGATGAAGTCTCTACGTGTTGATCTGGGCCGTGTGGAGAGATGCAGACTGCCTAGTTGAGGACTCTTGGTCATATGGCTGAAAATTGGCGGCAATGGCGCAGATATATTCACTCTATAATATCTTCTGAACCTTGAGTATTTACACTAACCGTTATCTTCAAACTGTTTGTTCGCTTACACAAGTTTGTCTACTTTGATATCACTCTTTTTCTGTCCACCTGTTCTTTGTGTACCAACAGCAACCGATACAGTTTTGTGCTAGGTTTTACGTTATGTTTGCCAGTCATTCAGTCGTTGTTCCCGTAAGGATGAATTTTCACACAGTGCGTAAAACGTTGCAGCTTCATCTTTAAGGCGGTTAGGTTGTGGTGATTAATTCATACTCTGTAGTGCAAAAATTCTCATTTGGACATTCTAAAAAGAAGACAATTCAAGGAAAGAAATATTTATTTTTAATTAACTTCTAATCAACTGCTCTACACTAGTGTAAATCACTTTAAAATTCTAAAATAACCTACTTCTGACGGCTCAAAGTTGGTGAATACCGGGCTGTTAGTCTCGAATTGCTGGAGCTGTGGCTCATTGTTCTACACACTGGAATTCCAATCAGTGGGCTCCACCTACTGAGGTCTGAAAGGCCAAGCCTGTTACACAGCATGTGTGGTTCATCATCTACTGCACGAACCTGGTTGCTCAGTGCTTTTAGAATGTTTTCGTTGAATCTCAAGTTGTCAATGTGTAGTTATTAATCAAGAGGATTATGATGGTAGTTAAGGCCTAAAATAGTCACTGAGTAAGTAGAGACAGGTTGCTGCATAATTAGTAGTGTTTCTTAATCGAAATTATATCTGGGTTGAAGTTGAGGGCCATGGGAGTAGAAGGGATCGAACTAACATCTTCCGTATGCATGAATATGGTTTGGAAATTTTAATTTTTATAGCCTCTGGTATGTCTAGAGATAGAAAACATATAAACTTGGAGTGTTGTGGTGATATTTTCTGTAATTGTTGACGTTTTATCAATTTTATGCTAAGTACCCACTAGATAGATGATTACTCAACTCTTGATGGATTTCCTGTCCTTTTGCCTAATCTAACCACGCTGGACAGTGTTCAATGAAGCGATAATCGGCTTGTCAGGTAATCTAACCTACGTAACTATCTCCATTGGAGCAGCTAACTTTGTAGATACATTTAAATGTGGCCAGACTCGATAGCCTAACCTTCAACTGCATTGGCGCCATACAACAAGTAGTAAATTCGAGACATAGTGTTGCGGCAGACAAGGATTTTCTGTCAGTTTTCTGAGTTTCATTGTCAGTGTTTCTGCGGTTGCATCTCTTTTCAACACTAAAGTTAAGTATAACCGTTTCTGGGGTACCATTTAAAGGGACTTTTCTTCAGGTGTTTCCATTGTAACCTGTCTTTACGAAGTTTCGAGGATAACCCTTTTTACATAAAGTACCCTCGGCTATTCTTATTTCTTCATTCAAAGTGTCAACTGTTTAAATCTTCCCGACTCCAAGCCATTTAAATTACTTTTATACATAAGCGGTGCAAATGATCGGAAATGTGTTTACTGACCGTCCCGTGACGTCTTGCTAAGTATACTGCTCTTATTGCTGCCATCTATGTGTTGTGATAACAAAACACCAAGAAATTGCTGACATTCGTCTTCTCTGTTTTCTCGGAGAACTCGCTGTTTGATTGAGTACTTTTGATTGTTTTGAGAATATCAGCATTACTATCATTTTTGTAAAGTATGAATATGTCATCCATCTATCTGGAATAGAAGGACAGTTTATTCATCGTGCTATGCGATGGTCTACTTTCCGATTTTGCTATAAACATGTCGGCTAGATGGGGGCATAAAGGTGAATGCAATGCCATGCTTTCTATCCTACTGTAAATTCAGCTGTTAAGTTGAAACTCTGTATTCATTGTCGAAGAGGGAGCTCTGTTGGAGTTTATCAAGTGGTATGCCTACATCCAGGTTGTTATCTAGCAGTGATTGACAGAAACTGGGGAATGAGGAAGTAGGATATATACAAACTATTGTTTCGTTAGTTGTGTTGTTGAAATAAACTCAGAAAGCTATACCTGGCTACCTTACATTTTAATCGTTTCACTATGCTATCTGGCCATCTTACCAATTCATGATACGGTAAATTGAACGCGTCTAAGGTAAGGAATGCACTTGTACATTAGTTTTATGAATTTCGAGCAATTCCTACATTCTTGGTTTTTTTTTGTACCGACATGCTTCATTCGTTTAAAAGTATCCGGAGAGATTGTGCCAACAACGTCTTTAGTCTTTTGAATAATCTTTTTTTCTTAGTGTGGTTTCGACCACTCATTGAATTCTGGGACTTCTTGTTATATTCGACGATTCTACTCATCGTATCATCATCGTCATCTGTATCCAAGAGTCAACTGCAATTCCTTTGTCTGGCCTCGGTATAAGTAAACTTCGTTTAGACTTCATTTACTTTAAAGGTTCTCAATGCACCTTATTCAGTTTACTTCTATAACTGAATTTCCTTGATTGATTTTGGTAACAGTTTTTTTACTTGAAAGGCTTTCAACCCTTCCACTTGAAGAACAGACGATGAGAATAAACCACTTGTTTGAATGGATCTTTTCTCTCCTTTGATTAACCATGATGGATGATTTTCGTAAATTTTATGACAAACTTACCTAATCGTACTACCAGTCTAGCTGAATGCACAGATGCTGTTGAAACTGCTAATTGCACATATAGTAGGCAAAATCAGCCAGTGGTTTTAATTCTCAGTCAGCTTTGGATTGACTGTAGAAAATGCAGCATAAGTTCTACCACATTGAATGATCCTTTTATAACATTCCTTAGGTACATTGTCACTCCGAAATTGTAGTCTGAGTAACAACCATTTATGGTAAGCTGGTGGTACTCTGATATTTGTGTTAAATGGACCTATATGCTTGGCTAAGATTTTCACTGGATCTTCACTGTTACTGAGTAATTTTGAACTCCCTGTCGAAAGTATTATCAAATCAGATAACTTTTGCTTGGTGAATTAAGCATTTTACTAAATTTTGTGCATACTGCAAGCGCATGAAATTAATTAAATGAGTATACTGACTTCGATAACTTCAGTGTTAAGTAGGAGGTAGTTATCACAGATCAATAGTCAGTCATTAGTTTATTGGGCTTTGGATTCTTTATTCGAATCTCAGTGGGATTGTCAAGAATTATTGGAGTATAGATACATTCTGTTGACCACTTTTGAATAGGACACAACACTCACTCTGGATTCCACTTTTCATCGAAAAATATTGCAAATAAGTGCGTAGACAAAAAAAATCATGTGATATAGTTTTTAAAAAGAGTCCTTAGGCCAACAAAATTTTGTTGATTTTTCTCTGAACTACGAAGCTCATCATTCTATCTACTGTCCGTTTGTTCACTATTCATAGTATTCAAAGTATCTTTTAGTTGCTACCAATCTGAAAGAAACTTTTTGGTTTAACTTGCGTTTGAATTATCGATAAAATGATGAATTCGTCATGTTTGGACAAAACAGGCTGCTCTCAACAACAGGGTTTAGTTGCTTAGGTGTAAGTTCTGTACACCTTATGAGTGAGCACTATTTCCTAAAACGGAAGCTGTTTGAAAAGGTGAAATATTGTCAGTTTATACAAAACGCGATACTGTGGGATAAAGAAGGGTTTTATTAGACGACTAACTTTTTTATATCGTCGATTCGCCAATTTGGGCCTCACTTATGAACTTTAGATGTTATCAGGTACGGTTACGGGTGATTCCATTTTAAACCTCTTTCTGTTTTGCATTGCTCTTGTATCGTCAACCTCTTCATAACATCCTCCTAATGTTTTCTTGCTGTGCTGTTGAGTAATTTTCTTCACCTTCATAATAAACAAAAAAGCATCGTCGATATACTGCGACCATTACTAAAGAATTGTCAGCTCTATCTGTTACCATCTGGCGGCTAGTTCGTTTGTTTGTTGTTTGATTTACGAAATGCTACTCAGATTTGTGTATGCATTACATGGTATTATTTACGTGATGACGTTTCGAGCACAAACTATTACTCATAATCAGATCAACCTAATGCTACTCGAATAAACTGTTTCGAGAAGTAAAGTAATTCGCATTAAAATTCTTTTTTTAAATATTTTTTTTCTGTTTGTAGAACCGTTCTTCAACTGTGCCTAATGTAGAAGCCTTTCTAGATGCTACATCCTCATGGCATATTGTCTGCCCGCTTCTTTTGACCGGCTCAATGTCTTCGCGTACAGGTGAATACTCGAGATTGAGCGTTTTGAATGGAATATCTCAGGGTAGATATAGTGATAACCCATTCACTGGTAAACCACCTTGGGAGTTGGAGCGTTTTCAACGTCTATTTGATCATGGTGCATTATCGTTTAGTCCGACTGCCTATCCTAATGCTCAGGTCCCTGTATACTTTACTGATCCATTAAATACTTCCTGTCGTACATCAGCTCCATTTTATCATCAACCAGGAATGACACGTAAATCGGAGTCGGTCACTATCTGTTCAACTCATTCATCCGAGCAAAATCCTTCATCGCCTGTTACCCCTATTATCAATAATCAGTCACTGCAAGAACGTCGACTACGTATGCGTTTAACACGTTATCCTTCTCCTAAGCCCTCACATTCATCCATTTTAAATCTCCCAGCACAATCGGCTGATGCAACCAGTCATATGGCTCATCCACCTGTGATATCCCAACCCATCGCACATACTGCTACCACTGTTTCTGGAAAGAGGAACAGAGACGAAGAGAAAGAAATCATTGATATACTAGTCACTCGCTTTGCAAATGTAGAAAGGTACGTGATGTAAATTTGTACATACCTAGTTCTTCTGTTTACTGTTGTTATGGTTTTTAAATGTTTTTATAGCTCGGGTTGTTGTTCTTCTAACAATTTTTTCCTCTTTGAGCCTTGGGTTTCTTTCGCAAACCTTTTAAAGTCAATCTAGGCGTCTTCATCATTTAGTACTCGTTGTAAAACAACATGGGTTGCCAAAGCCTACCTGAGTTCTTCTTTCACTATTCAAATAAAATAAAAAAGGATATAGGTGGAGTTATTGGACAAATTAAGGAAGGTCAGTTAGGTTAGGTTATGGTAGATTTTCTGTACATTGATTGCTGTTTAGGTCATCTTAGTAGGGAGAAGTGGTGTATAGTAAAGGCATTCTGGAGTATAGTATGCTTTCTGTCTATTGCTCATAGCATTCTTGCAAACAGAAGTGGCCAGAGAACACAATTTCATATAACAATTTGTGGGTTTTACTTTAGATGGTGTCAGTCTGAACTTTCATAGGTGGAGTGTAGGCTCATAGTTATAACTTTCAATTGAAAGTGGAATACCTAAGCTAGTTATCTATAGTTTACTTTATCGTTTACTCTCTATTAAACACAGGAGCATCCGTTCAGTGTTTTGGTATTTGTTCTTGCATTGTTTACATTTTGGTATTTGTATTTCCTAATAAATGCAAAACAAATATTATTTATACAATGCCCAAATTTTTTCAAACCATCAAATCACAAATTGACTTGGGTACGTATAAATTAAGCTTCTGTTCAAGTTATCTCACCTCTTGACTGCGTAGAATGTGGAAGTCAAGAAGAAATATTGGGAGAAGAGATAAATGAATATTGATAAAATACTCAACATAACCAAGGTAACAAAATGAGTAGGTACCTTTGCACCACTGTCATCATATTTATTCCATTCCTTTTTTTAATTCTTAAGGTCTCAATTCCCTGTGTTCGTTAGTTATCTAAACAGTTGTTATAAATTGTATATGTTAGCCCATATTTGTTTGTTCTTATCCCCTTATTGTCTTTGTCTAATGGATGTGTTTCGCATTGATGGATCGTTTGGTCTTTGGGTGAAATACCAACATTTATGTAAGTAAGAAAGACATGCTGCTGTATGTGCTTATCAATTGCATCCATCCTTTCTTCTGCCGTGGTTAGGATAGCGATAGATTTCAGTAAGATCTTGTATCTGGAGTGCCTACGATTGGCGACACAGTAGTGTTGATCTGCTTGGCAAATTTTGAGTTGTAGCTTGTTGGTGTCGAAACTAATTAAACTAAGCTCTCTCAGGAACCGAATACATACTCATGCCATAGGGAATACACTGCATCTGGTGTGTGAAGGTGTATGCTACTATCTGGGTTTCAAACCTCGCTACATGGATAGAATTTTGACCACATGACCCATTGGCTATAAATCAGATGCTTAGAGCAATGAACAACAACACGCCGGTTTAGGTATTTGAACAAAGTCAAGGGTTTAGTACTAGTTATGGCTACCCCTATCTAAGTAGGATTGTTGGCCTTCCTATTATAGATGTAGCTAACATGTGATGCGTCAACCGGCACATGAATATTGGGTCGCATTACACTTTATCTACCTCAGTAGAGCTTTGAGTCATGGGTCTACGCACTCGATTTCCAACCGATGAGTTACGAGCTCGAACGCTGTACCTGCCTCCTGAGGTCTGGGTAGCCAGGTATTACCACTAGCCCTCACGTAGTACAAAAGTCGTTGCTCATTGCCTACTGCACGAACGTGAAGTCGATTACTGAGTGCACTTCACTTTTTTCGCTTATTATCTACCTTGGATTAATTACGCGTGTTGAGCCAACGTTCACCTCTAGTACTCTATTTTAGACAAAGCGGAATTCGGGCGACAAAAATTTACAAAAGAACATAACGTTCGTGAATGAAGTCTGGTTGTTATTTTAGGCCATTTATAGAAACTGAGATTTTGACACTGAGATCCATGAAATGACCGAAACTGTGAGTTTAGGATTCTCGGTGATGTAGCTCACAGCTCATTTTTGTGTATTCATGCCTCATCTTCACATTAATCTTCCTATCACATTTCGTCATGAATTGATCGGTCACTGGGGAGCAACCAATCTCACATTGTGTAGTCCTGAGTGCTGGTCGAATTCTATCGATCACTTTGCAATGTGGCCACCAAACGAAGAGACTCGCTATTGCGGTACATTTTGATGGGTGTTAATTGGTTAGAGGAATTCAGCAGCAAGAGCTAGACGTAGGTTTCATGCTTTTTGGCATTTGTCAAGAAGGCATCTACAACCTCGAGAGAGCTGATTTCCCGTATGAGATTGAAACTGGTTTCATCATCATAGATGTTCATTAACCGCTTGATTAACTTGTATACCATTATGTCAGTTAGGCTTTTGGGCATCAGACCACCTAACCAGCAGTGGTTTCTGAATTCCAGACGTCTTTAAGCTTTCTATGGATTCCTTTCGTGAAAACGTCCCTAAACGTAGTCAGCTTCGGCTTTCATCTCTACTTACCAACCTTGTTTCTGAATTCGATCACACCGTCTGAACGACAAAAAACACCAACATTCAACCCTAATATGCAAACAATCATTATCATTGTTATTATTTATCCTTTGAGTTCCTAGTGGAACATGGAGTTTCAGTAGCACATCAACATTTCACTCTCTTCTCTGCAGTCTTCAAAACCTGGCCGCACGACATAACCTCACATAAGCTTTCATTCCTTCCTCATGCGATCTCCATGTCACCCTCGGATGCTCAACTCGTCGTTTCCCATTACATTCCAGTTCCACTCGAGGACCTGGCGTGGCGTGTGATGTCCTAAATCAGTAGTCTCAGTGTATGCCCAATCCAATCCATCTCCACTTTCTTATGCACATTTCTTGAGTGATAGGTTCTTGGTTGGTTCGTTATCAGGCCAGAGTTTCTTGTTGCTTATTCCTACTATTATGGCCATCCGATCTTTATCTTCAGTATCGAGTGAGCGAAGGCAGCAGCTGTTGATGAATGTCTGTAGTTTGTTGGAAATGCTTTTCGTAACGTGCCAAGTCTCTGAACAATCATATTGAAGCACTAACTTGACGTTAGTGTGTGGAAAATCGGATCTTTCTTTCTCCTCTTTGGTAACTAGGTTCCCTTCACTATCTCTCATTGGTTTCATCGGAGTTGATCTCTCCTCTCCCAAATAGTAACCTGGTTGGTTATTTGATACAATGTTGTCAGGTCTCTGTCTCTCCCACATGCAGCCTGTTCTGCTTCACTTGCCTGTCAGTGTGTCGTAGAAGTGTCTTTTGTCTTTGCGCGCACTCTTCTTCACCTCTTTGTCCAGTGTAGTGTTTTATAGGTTGTACTCAGTTCCTCCTTCCAATGTTCATCCCTGCACTGCACTGGTTCATATTCTGCTTCACCATCACCATCTTCCTCTCCCTGTTCCATCAGCTTCCATGTGTCCATCGAGATCCATTCTATTGCTTGTCTTGTTTCTACTTCCCTCCTAACACACTTATGCAGGTTTCCTTCCACATCTCTTTCAAGGAGTTCCAGTGTTCTTCCACTCAGGTTTCCTCGGGGACGTTGCCTAATGTCTCCCATTGTTGCTGATGACTGACGTGAAGATGTCCTTTGAAGTTTCGTCCTTCAGTTTCTGTTTTGGGTGTTCAACCTGAACTGTGGTCTACCACCACCAACTTCTTTCAAGGTTTCCAACTTGATTTTGAAGGTTCCTCGCACTAGATAGTGAGTGGTGTGAACCACTTTCATCTGCTCCCCTTCCCCATCTGTTCTTGTGTCAAGTAGGCTGGCTGCGTCTCCACTTTCTTCACATTGAGATGGAGTCGATCTTATGTTTAGTGTAGTGTGTGCTGGTGTCTGATGAAATCAAACCCATGTCGCTGCCTTGTCAATATCATTGTGTTTGTACACACTGCCTCACTGCAATCACGAAATCGTTGAATGCGCAGAATTCTGCATATAGTCCTCCATTCTCGTTCATTTCACCCAGTGCTTCTCGACACATGATCAGTTCTCTTTCTGTCTTGTCCACTCCCAGTTTTGCATTCATGTCACCCATGAGAATGAATTTTGATGTGGCCGACTGGGCTGGAGTCTTGTCCAGTGCTGATTGCAGTTGTCTGTAGAATTCCTCCTTCTTCGCTTCATCTGCATTATTTGTAGGTGCTTTGCGTAGCGTAGCGTAGCATAGCGTAGCATTGTATGAGTGTGACTTTCCTTCCTTTCGAGTTGAATCCATCTTGCTGTGATGATCCTGATCCTGTAGGAGGAGATTGGTTCCCAGTGCATGAGAGAGGGACTTCGATGCTGTCGGGGACATCATGATAGCCACTCGAGAACTCAGTGTGCTTGTGGTTGTCGTCTGGGTGATAATATCTTAGTAGATTATTGACTGTCGAGTTGACAGTTTGGAGAGACCACTTCCATTCGATTCGCATATCCCTCTGAGATTCCTAGCACGTCCATTCTATGCTATACCTCGTCATCTCTTCCGCAATCTGGACAGCCTTTCCAGCCAGCTTCAAACATTGTGCAGACATTCCACATCCCCATGTTTGCGTTTGCTTTGATTGAGAGGAGAGGAGACACGTTGGCCGACTGGCTTCTCGAAGGCTTTCACCAATTGGCGTCCTTCCGCCTCTCCGATTCCAGCGAGGAATAAGTTTAATTTTATGTTTAATAATCTTTTTGTGCATTGAAGTTTGTTTAGCGATTGGATTGGTATTCTGAGGTAGGGTTTGTAGCTATATGCCTAACCTTCCCTCTTTCTCCGAACTTAGGACCGGCTAGTAAAGTAGGCGAGGTTAACCTGGAAATCTTAGGTAGATACAGCCTAAAACACATTAAATGTACTAAGGTTCAAAAACTTGATGGATTATACGATAAAACACGTTTGATTTTTTGTACCCGAATAATAGATGCTACCTTGAAGTTGGAAGAAATGTTATTTAAGTTTTGGTATGCCAGACTGATCGTCATTCTTTGTTGTTGCTGCCTTCCTTATTGCCTGATGGGGTGAGTACATGTCTGTCCTAGATCGAGCTCACTTAGTAAGAGTTTCACTGCTTAAGTCAGTTAGTTCCAGTTTTTAGTTTATCTGTAGTCTGAGATCGTAGCTGCCGAGCCTGAACTGGCGTTACTGGATGAGTTAATAAGATTGCGATAAGTTGGTTGAATTCTGCTCATTTTGTCGCCTGCAGTTTCTGTTACTAACATAAGGCTAATTAGTAGTTTACCTTTTTTGTATTTCATCTTGAGCACCTATTTCAGAAATCACCCATGTAAGTATGTGCTGTAGCAGGTGCCTGCAGTTTTAACAAGAACCTGATCTACAGCCTGTGAGTCATCTCAGTTTTAAGAGCAGTCTACTACTAAGCAGGTCACGATTTCGCTTCATGTATTGACGTTTCGTTTGATTTCCCTTCTCACTTTCCTTAACATTCTTTTACTTTTTTAGATAGGTTATATCAGAAAACAATTTCAGATAGTCTAGCAACAAGAAATGTGTGTAATGTTGTCACTGGGAGGCAGGTGTATCCAGCTGACGAGCCACAAATGGGATAAAACGCACGTTCTGTTGTTAGCCACTATCCATCATTGCCATAAATATGCATAAAATTATATATCGTCTTGACTACCTACTGTTTTTCAATATCGTTTTATATCACTATGATTTCCTTCTCATTATTCTTTTACAGACAAATCGAAAATCTTGATATGCGTATATCTCAGTCTGTCAGCACTATTTTGCAGCAACTAGAATCGAAATTGGCGAAGCAACGAGCATTTCCTAGTTAACCGTACATATATATATATATATATATATATATATATATATATATATATATATAATATACTGTATAATTTCTTTCTACGTTGCTCAAATTCTTTCACCTTGGAATATGCGCCCTGCCGTGTCTTTATTGTGTATGATATTGATATTTTTGTTTATGTTTTTGGGTGGAATATCAAAGGTCGGAGGGGGGAGGGATGGAGTGGCGATTGGCAATTGTAACCCTCTTAAAATGCAAATAAGAGGAGACAGATTGAATAAAAGTGTTGTTGTTAATTATGGAATTAGTAAACAAACTGATGTCACAACGTGACAATCACCAAGTGTAAACAGAGAGATTAGTTTGTTTTTCTTTTCGATGTGAATAGTTTATTTATTTGTTTACGTGTTGATTTGTGTAGTTCTTCTTCCAACTGAATTATTTTCCTTTTCTTACCTTGCAAACCTATAGATCCAACACTTTCTATTAATACTACTATTATTATTAGTAGTATTATCTACATTTTCAGTTCTGTATGTACACAAGGAGTACACATCGAAAGACAAAGTGTGTGAAATGACCCTAAGAGTTGATATGATCACGATTGCATGGAAAATGATTAATAAGGAAAGATTTTTTAGTGTGTATACAACGCCCTCTTCCATAAGTGTAGAGTACTCCATACTACACTATTTATTATACATACATGAAATCAGTTTTTGCATGCCTATAACATCTTTTCATTTACGATAGTTTTCAAACGCATCTTGCATTATATTTAGCAGTCGGAAGAAGATGTCAACATAAAATGATGATGTAAACATCTATTCTGTACATTTGTTGTATGTAGTTTCCTGTTTTTTAACAAAAGGAGTGCGTTAGTTAACTTATTTTTTCATCAGCAGTTAATTACCTTATTTTAAATGATAAGTGTTCGCTTACGCAAACACTGATGACAACCTGCATTACTCCTTTGTTATTATTATTATTATGATTACTATTGTTATGGACTGAACATTGGACATATTTTCTGTGTGATGTTTTGATAATACAATGTAAGTAATTACACCAATTAGTGCAATAGAACGATATTTTTACTACTTCTACAAGATGTATTGCCCATAATGTATGCATCTTTTGTTCATGTTGCGAAGAGATTCTTCAGATTTATATTGTTTTTGATTCTTTCTCAGTTTATTTACTTCGAAAATCATACACACGGTACATATTGTCTTAATTTTTAACTATACTTCATCAATTTCCGGTCTTCAGTTTGTATTGTATTTTAAAAAAGCATTTATCAATTAAGTTTTCCACCGATTCCTGCATTTATATCTACCCGTAGAACTATACTTTAATTTCTTTCTCCACTATTTCAAATTTCGTCTTTCTTCTACCTTGCTATATCAGTAAGTCTGGTGAGATGTTAGTTTCAAGAAGATTGATTTGGTGAAGTTATCTCTTTTATTATCTTCTTTTAGACAGACATAAAGTGGGGCAGTTCAGTTTCAATCACCAAACGGAATGCTCATTGTGAAAGGCATTTATGGACCAATTACCTTCTTTTGTATTCCTTTTGTTTTATTCCACTGAATAGAGTTTTCCGTGGTATTACAAGTATATATAACCGTTTAGTACAAATTCACTACACTAAATAAAATATTTGTTCAATAGCTGTAGTTCTTGTAATCGCTCGCTGTATTGATCTACAATGCAGCAGCAATGTATCGAATGCATGTATATACACCAGAATTTTCTGCTTTTGAGTTGTTCTGGATTGCTTTTTGTGTAATTTTCTGTTCATTCTGTATAAAATGACAAACGCATCGTTGTAAGAGTGTTCGCAAAATGACAACAGCTTACGTTGGCACTTTTTCTAACAGCATAGAAGTAGGATGGGTGAAGAAGTTTTATTGAGATAGACTATGAGAGCACTCCAGATGGAAGATAGAAGGGTGCTGAAATCTGAGAAAAAAAGTTGACCTATCTGTGCAGAGGCTCATCCACTTCTTTACTTGATTTTCGGCTAATTGGTCAGGGTTTTGAACCTATCTTAACCAACAAAAGTTGGAACAAGCTAGATTGTTTGTCTAGGTAGGTCTGTGAAACACAACTCAGTCAGTGGAAGGTTCAGTCTTATCGACTGAGTTACATTACTTGGTCAGCTTTCTACACTTGATTTCAACATTATTCATTTGATAGTCCCACATCACTCAAATCCTTCTATGTGGGTGCCTATACTCAAAGGTCTTAAGCGTCTTCATACCCTCAGCTGCTACATCTTACAGTCGTAAAACAGACACTAAACTGTTACTCAGTACACCTGACTGCTAATAACGATTTGAAATATCACCTTCAACGTTTATAACGTAGCTTGATTAATCTCAAGTGGATGTTTCGCGTATGTAATGAAATTTCAGCCCAAAGCAGTCATTTGGGGTGAAATGGTTTTCTCACCACAACACCTCACTTTTTATCCTAAAATAGAGGAGAGGATAAGTGTGGGGTAGTACGGATGCATCATATCGCATTTTGAAAGTACGAAACGAATGCAAACGATACTTAAATGTTTTGGTGGAACATTTAAGAGAAGGCCCCTTCATTTTGTCGTCATCGTACAATAGCACTTTACCAGTAACTAGATACTATTGGATAGCAAATCAGTCTACGTAGAAAGTGCTGCTTTCGTATGCACTAATTACTGCATAGTAATTTATTGGTATTTAAAGTAAACAAATCAACGCGTTAGGCATAAATACTGAGTTTGTTTGCCGACTTGTCTCAGTTGGTTTACTAGATCTTATCACAGTGAAGCAGCATTGTTTACTGGATCACTTTTTGGCTAATGAATTATATCCACGTTTTACTCTTATTTTAAATTCCAGTTTGTTTTTGCTGCTGACGTCTGTCGACGCTTTTATAGAAAATTGTTTACAAAGTGAAACCCTGAAAATGCAACTCACCCGCCCCGCACATGACCGCTAACTGAGCTACATTTATTATGCTAGGACTTATAACACTACACGTTTTTTCGGGTGGAAATAGATAGATCAGCACTTTATGAAGCTAACTGCTCTTCATATGAAATGAAATAAATACAAGACTTGTATCCAGGGAGTTGGAACAATACAAGTAGGACTTCAAGTCAGGCATCGTCTTGTAGTGTACCGATAAGCAATACAGCCATGTACCAGCATAGATATTGATAGGCGTTGAAGTTGGATGCAGGAATTGTTTTTTAAAAAGTAGGGTTAACTGCTACAAACTGTCAAGATTGTTTTTGAAATGACAGAAAAACTTACAGCTCAGGATGTGAGGACGATGGTGGTTTGGTGTTCTCTGAGCTTTGTTAAAAGACTTTTTAAAATCCGTCGTACAGTTACAGACACAAGCAAGTGAAAACCAGGTTAACAAAGAAAAGATATATGACAAAGTTGAGGTAACAGGGTTACGGGATGCAGTGAACTTACAATATTTGAACTTCTAGTTAGATATAAGTCCGACTTTATCTGCTCTAATATGGCTATTGTATCAGCTTTATTTGCTGTCGCTTAGTGAGTGTGACTTGTTGAGGACGACACTAATTGTTAATTACTACTAACCCTGTACCTCAACAGCTGTTTACACGTTTTCGGCTACTCGAAATATCAAATGTGAGTGTGAAGAATCTATGAAAACTGTGACTCACTGGTTAAGCCACTTAGACAGTGCTACTGACTCCAGTTGTTGAGTTTTGATGTAACTATTCTTCAGAAATACGTTCACTGCAAAATCTACTAGACCTCACTCGCATGCTAAACTAGCAGGAAATAGTTTCCCAATTTATCAAACGCTAGTGACAGTTCATCATGTAACGTAAAGTTGCTTATTTGGATTATTTGTTTTTTATTCATGTTCAGTAGATGAAAATCAAATGTTCTTGGGCTTTTTGTCTCACAGTTTAGTTAGCAAGCAACAATTTTAGTAGGTTTAAATATCAACAACTATTTCGCTGTGATATATCAGCCGAAAGTTATCGAAGTAAATAATCCCTTGAATTATTTGTCTGGCTTAGCTAGAGTCGTTTTTATTACTAGGTGTGTAAGCGAAATAGTTATTTTGTTTGTTTAATACTTGGAAAATGAAGTTATTACGAATCACTTAGTCTTTTCATTGCGATTTTCCGCTGTATTTTATCAGATTGTGTTATCGCCTTAGACAAACATCAGAAACGTTAGGCTGATTATTAGGATTATGATCGATTGGGGTGATCGAAATAAGAAGAATGAGATTTATGCAATTATTACTTACAAGAATGTTCAGCGATTGGAAGCAGTGGACAGGAAATCGTACTTCATCTACGTTTTATGTTTGTTAGCAGCCTATCAACAACATGGATTCGCAACATCTAGAAGATTCATTTCCTTGCTAGCGGTCGGAATCCACAGAACTCTTTGACTTAAAGCCGTTACCACTGCGCTTGTAGGACTGGATGATATATATTAACCACTCAAGTGTGATAAATTTCATGTTCAGTTTTTGGTTGGTTCTTGGATCAGTCACATCACAGAAGTCGGCCAACTTTCTACACCTTTCCGCCAACACACGAAGTATAGGGTGTATATCATGAAACCATATATAACATTGAGACTGCTACTTTCAGGCTTTTGACCAGCAGGGGAATGTACGACGTGCCTTTCGTCCTGTGCAGCCTAATATATAAAAATCACCGTACACCTAATGTATGATCTTCATATACGCCGGGATGAATGGACAACTTCATAAAAAACTCCAACTATTTTTCCTTCTCAAAAACCTCCTTACTTCTCGCACCACGTAATAAATATATCCACTTGTTAACTGGTCTTTGTTTATGTGATTTTCAAGAATTGATATAAAGTTTTTGTAGATTTTTTTGCGTTTGTTTATCTGTTCTCCTCGCCTTTTTTTCTTTTTGTCACTTGAAAGCACAAATTGATTTTAATTCAACCAACATACAGTCAAACATTTTTCATGAAAATATTTTTTTGTTAACTTTCGTAGGGTAAATTCATCACACACCCTAGTCCTGCTCATTCTGTATTCTTTTTTTTCAACTAGGAGTTAATTTGTTTTGACAGATCTTAAGTTTGAGGTCGAGTGTTGAAAAGTGTTTGTGACTCAGCAGATAATTGATTCCCCAACTATTTGCATATCACTCTCTTAACGATGATATTTTTTACAGCTTAGTAGATTATTTTACAACCGTAGAACTGACTTTTCCCGCTGGAAACCACTCGCTCAGAAGTATAGACTTTAGTTCGTGACACAAAGACAGCTTGAACCAATGCAGTATATTTCTGAACGACTTGTGTAATGAAAAACCGATGACAAAGATGATTGTAAACAAACGATACTGCCGCTCGATCATCAAAACTCTATGATTCACTCAGCAAAATCTGCGAATCAAAGTGAATAATTCTGCCTTATATTGTTCAGTGATATTGTCTCGCTGTGTACATACACACTGTCAGTCATGGATCAAATCCAAAGTCTCAAGGCTCTTCAATGTTTTTTATAAGTACTTGACTAATGAATGACTGTCTGGTTTTATAAAGGCAATCTACTGCTGTTGGACCAACCATATCTTCTCAGATGGTAGTTTTGCGTATAATTCACGCTCTGTATAGATCGGGGATTGTAAATTTTAACCACTAACACTCATTCATTGACTCGAAATGAAAACGCATGTCATCATCGTGAGTTGCTGTGTGACTGATTTCACCACGGAACTGCACTTCCACGTGGTATGTTTGATTCAAAATCAAAAAGTAGTAGGTTGCCTTGTGAACTGGATCACAAGTGTATACTCAGGACAGAACAGGGTATTTGTTTTTTATCCTTTGATTTTCGTTTATATCAAACTTTGATGAGAATAGTTTTCAAACTTTACAGTAATTCAAAATGTTTTTAACCAGGTCTTTACATTTGTTTTTATTCTCATGTAAGCAAAGTATTATAATACCACCCAGCTAATCCATTTTGTTTTGTTTTCTCACCTCTGAAGTAAACTATGACTTCACAACCAGTCTCTGAAACGGAACTACGTAAATGGGGTAACTGTTTACTAGACCCATCAGCTAAGCTAGTCGATCGTTCTCGTGCCCTCTGGGGATTACGTCATGCTGCCGAACCACTAGCCTTGGAACTGTTGGCTGATTTTGTATGCAACTATGTTCGCCCATCACCGATAACCAATGATCTATTACAACATGAAGCTGCTTATTGTCTTGGCCAGCGAGGCGATCCAAAAGCGATTCCCTATCTCTTGCAAGCTATCCGTAACGAAAAGCATGTTACACTTATTCGACATGAAGCTGCTGAAGCGTTAGCTGCACTGAGTGGATGTCATGGTGCAGATATTGAGCAAGTTGAAAAAGCATTGAAGGAATTCGCTAATTCAAATATAACAGAGGTATGTCATTATTAGGACATGATGCAGTTTTTTTTCTAATCCCATGTTTGTTTGATATTTATTAAATTATCCATCCATCGGGAAAGTGGCAAAGTATGTAGTATTACATACATTTTCATTGTGGTGGTTTGCATCTAGTAATTTTATTTAGTCGTCTTGTAATGCTCATATGGTAACTGCATAAAGATTTGTATGCTAAGCAACAGAACAAATCTGTGGGCATTAATACTACTATCCACCTGTCTCTATGTTGTTAGGCGGAGTGCAGTTTGAACCCAAATCAATCAGGCTTGTTTACATTCATCATATAGTGGTGTTGGCAGACACATAAGCAGCTTATTACACAAACCTATGTACTTTTTCATCACAGGTTGACATCAGTTAGAATAACCATTGAAGAATAGGGTGTATTGGAAGTTCGTTTCGATGGGTACATAGCCAAGGACTACGAACAGACATCGTAAGGTGTCACGGTCTTCCCTAGTTCATACAGATCCGTTCAGTCGGTTAGCGCATGATCGGTTGTTAGTTGTTATCCAGTCGATGAGTGCATTTTCTGCTTTAGATCGTAAGGTAGTACCTACACCAATGAGTCCAAGGGAGCTTGCTATTCAATCTCTGGGCACTCAAAGTGAATTTCACAGGTTCGTTACATCGACTAAACGGAATCAAGTGAATAAAACACATGCGTTCTGTATGCACTTTTGAGAAATGCGATATATATCAGTGACTGGAGATTGTAGAGTTTTGGCAAGAGACACTTGTCGTGGAATTTCTCATAAGGTTCTGATATTGACAGCTCGTATACGAAATCAACAGCGTGGTTTTAGAAGACTATTGATAGTGTTTAGCCGTCTTGAGTCGTTCGCACTGGTCACAGGACGGAAAGTTGAGAATGCTATTATGGTCCAAATGTTGGTGTCAGGAAGCGAAGACAAGATGGAAGGTAAAGGAAGCGTGCCGTCAGTCAATCCTTCCCAGCTGCAGACATCCTTTACGTTCTCGCAAGGTACCTGAAAGCGAAGAACGATTAGTTTTACGTGACTGCAGACCGTACGGAACAGAGCCGGTCAGAATCAGCTTCTTTATGTGGATTTGAAATCCAAATTTATTTGTTTGTTTTGGTCCAGCTAGAAAACAGACTCTGCTGATCATGGAACTATTTATTCTCATGGATCATTCACACCAACTGTCAGATAATTCAAACATAATAGTTCAGTGTTCAAGCTTGTATCGTTTAGGAGTGTATTCGCATATGCTAACACTGAGTTATTCGGGAGGGACTGTTTTAATTATTATCATTATTATTATTATTACTGTTACCATCATTTTTATTTTCTCTTATGGTAGTTATTGCTGGTTAACAATGACATACATACTAGCTATTTCCTAATTTGCTTGTCTTCAATTGGCTGCATTCATCTGTATATCTTACCGTTTTCAAATCCACTTCTCTGGAAATTACACTGAGTGTGATGACTAACAGAGGTATTTCGCGGAATCAATGACCACAATCCCAAGTACACCTAAATCTCTTTCTGGAACTTCTATATTATTGGTTGGAAATACTCGCACCTACGATAGTAGATAAATTTTGTACTTTAGGATGCCAGGATGAGGTTGATAGTTGTTTTGCATTTTCCGACCTTCGATGTTTGTTCTCATAAATTTAATCAGCAGGCTAGGTGACTTTATCAGCACTTTATAAAGAAGTTTATTAAGTTATTGATAATCACTTTTTGTAGTATGGCAGATATCATTCTAATTTGTCTTTAGCTATATGTTTCATATGCAAAACTCAGTTGATTCAAAATAATGCATTTCAGTAATGAGATGATATCTCAGTAATTACTGTTATCACTGCCACTTAATCCTATTCGCTTAAATTGCATATGAACTTTAGATTTTATCTGCATACTTGCTGATCTTTCTGTCTTCTCCTCTCCTCTCATCTCCCTCTCTTTTCTTATCTATGTAGTCAGTTGTTTAAAAACCAGTAGTATCTCACTGGCATAGTGATATTTAAAGAGCTATCTGTCTTTCGTTGTTCTTTGAAAAGTTCTCTTTATATTGTTACTAATGTAACACGTTTTTCTTTGTCTACTGATTGATACTTCAAGTAGGGTAATTTTCAGGTGAATTCATTCTTGCAGTAAAATGAGAGTATATCAATTTCTTTTTTTTAATTATCTAATCTAAACTCATCACAAAAGAATATAATACGAAATGCGAAATATCAGTTTCGTCTTATCATTAAGCACAACCTGAGATTGGGCAGTCGCATCCAACGTAACAGTAAAAGTTAACACCTCATGGGATTCCAGTGTGGCAACATTCTTCGGAATACTTTTCTACTAGGATGCACCATTTTTAACAATGTGTTTGCCTTTTTGCCGATACTGTCTTTCGTTGTTTTTGCAAAGTTTAATTATCTAAACCATTGCACTGGTGTGGCAGACATCAATTTTGTACTTTCTTCTTATTCAAAGCTATTTCTATTTCTGAATATGAAAGATTTACGTTGCTTATTGCTTAAAATCGAATTTTTGACTGTATCAAAGTGTGGGTAAGCAGTTCATAATTACTTACAGAGTAGTACGTATTCTGAGATATATTTAAGCACAAAGGTTTTGCTTAATCTGTAATGAGATACCATAAAATGGACAAGGCAGATTAATTGCTATAAACGATTTTTATTCAAAGAAGAGTCGGGATACAGTTTCAAATCTAATGTATATTTATAAGAAATTGCTATTTAATACTCATTTCACGTTTATGAAATTCGAGATTTCTGCGACAATATTACTACTGTGAAAGGTAACAACTTGATCAATTACATTTTTGTGTATTGTTGAAAATCATTTTCACCATGAAATGACTGAGGGGATGAAGTTGTTGAAAATAATGAAATGCTTGAGCAATAGTAATAATAAGAGTCACTTTATCCCAGAAAATTATTTTAAACGAAAGTATATAGTTGGGCATGACGGAGATCGTCATTCAGTAAGTGAAGTCATCTCGAAAGCGGCTTCGGTGGCTTGGACTTGTGGACATGGCCTCTCAACGGCTTTCACATCATTCATTGTGTACTTACTCTAGGACTGGATGGAGGAAGCGAAAGGGTGTATGTATGTACGATATGGCGCTATTGGATTAAGGATATTTTTATCGGTTTAGCGTCTGTCGGTGCATCACGACTTCCTGGGTGGGGTCAGAGAGACCATCTAACTCATTGGTGTGAAACGTTATTAGATATGGTTCAGAATCGAAACCAGTGGCGGTCAAGCTGTAGCTTCCTTCTATCTTCTGCTGCTGAAAAGTAATGAATGTCTTATTTTGAATGTATCTTACTGGACAGGCTTTCTAATCACTATTCTTATTGTGTTTTCCTTTTTATCCACTTCCCATCGCTTATGTCTTCGCAATGTTGTGGCGCATTTCTAGGTGTCCTTACTGTACCATGTTTGTGTTCTGATGACAGTAATAATAATAATAATAATAGTGCATAACGACTAATAGCTTATAGGTCATCATCTAGTTTAGATGTTGTTTCGTGTGGATTAGATGGAAAAGCACACTTAACTTTGGTGGTGGTGGTTCATTTATCCATTATCAAAATATGCTGTTCTAGCTACGTGTTCTTGTTATAGCTATATGATGCTACTTGCTATATGATGACCTTTTCTTGTAGTCTTGTTGTTAACCTGTCCAACGATAAGTTGAAGATATCTTGAGAGTGCGCAACATTTTACGGTTTCTTGTAATTTGAATAATTAAAACAAGTAAAAAAGGAACAATTTGATGAAACATTTTTGTTAGTCCGAAATTTAAGCAGGCTGCTGTGAAAAGTGACTGTTACCCCAGTAACTCATGTTTTACTCAACAGGGTTATTATTAGAAAATGAAGGCTTGTCTGTGACTACGAAAATGATTTCCATCGGGCCAATATACGCTGGAAATAAGAATAATTAATTTTTAATTCTGGAGTAAAACTTGAGCACCATAGTTACACACCACTACAAAATAGGACTGGACATAATGACAGTCTTTAAACCCAACTTAGTGTTCCTGATACATGAAAAATTCTACTACGTCTATTACATACAAGGAGAGACACCTGCAGGTGTATGGGCTATTCCTCAAAGTTGTTGAGTTACCTTATGAGTAGAGACAATAAATTGTGGCTGACAGGTAACTAAATAGTTAATACCGCTTCACTGTGTTACATCGAATGAATGAACTTAAACAGCATTAGCTTTCTCTTTATTTGTCCAATGTATACAAATGGTTTAAAAGATTTATAGCTAAAGTTGGCAATAGTTTTCTGAAGAAGTTCGGCCTGTTTGGATGATATAACTTTGTTGGTTCAAATGCATGCACACCATCTGCATCATGAAAGCACCTATATCTTCAGAATTAACTTCATAAAGAAGTGAAGCATATTCGATAGTGCTTTTATTGACCTTGGATGTTGTACAATTGTAAGTTGAACAACTTCTAAACCACCATCATCTTCATTGTGAGCTACTAATCTTTTCCATCACTTGTTATTGTTTATTTTCACTTCGTTGAGTTGTTGCAACATTAGCCATTTTGCGTTGTTACCCCTTTTGTTGATATTATTGTCTGTTTCATAGATAGCGAATTCATTGTTTGACAGTATGAGCCTACCGTACTGTCTCATTCTCAGCAGAAATTTAGTTGAAGAGGATTTTCATTTCGGTCATTCTGTTTTTGAACTTCATTTTCTCTTTCTCCATAGCTGGCTGAAACATGTCAAGTTGGCTTGTGTCGTATTGAATGGATCAAGGGTAAAAAGCAACAACAGCAGAATGAGACTAGTCTTCCTGGTGTTAGTGACTTGGCATTACAGTTCTTCCCAAATACGACTGATCCTGCGCATAGCTTTGGTGTAGATCAGAACTATACTGATGAACAACTTCATGATTTATTAATGGATCCCTCACAGACACTGTTCACACGTTATCGTGCAATGTTTACTCTGCGAGATCATGTCTTAAAGGCAATTTTGGACAAGACATCACCAGAGAAACCAGCCAACTTGCTGGCTCAAGGCTTGGAAGCATCAAGTAGTGCTCTGCTTCGACATGAAGTTGCTTTTGTACTTGGACAGTTGACTGTAGCCAGCACTGTTCCCTTCTTGTCAGCCTGTGTTCGTACAACTACTGAGCACCCCATGGTAAGACATGAAGCTGCTGAAGCACTTGGTTCGATTCTTGGGGAATTAGAAGGGAAATTCTTAACAGACAATGTGAAAAGGGATGTACCCAAGGAATTTGAATATCAAGCACGTAAAGTATTGGAAGAATTCACCAAGGATAAAGAAGCAGTGGTTCGTGAAAGTTGTATTCTAGCGTTGGATATTGCCGACTACATTTCGTCACCTGAGCAGTTTCAGTATGCTGCTGTACCACAAAATTAGTTCAATGACTGTGTCTCTTTGTCGTTAATCTTTTTCCTTTTCCTCTCTGTCCTGCTAAATATAGGTTTTGTTATTATTATTCTGTCAATGTCTTCAATTCCGGTCATCGCATTTTAAAATCCGAATTTTTATTTTATGTTTATGGTTTTAATGAACCGCTGTTGTACCTTTAGTGGATATATAAATAAATGTGTGCAATCATTCTCAATGAGTATTTCCCCTTGTTCCCCGTTTACTGCAGTCCTGTACCGTAAACATATATCAACTACTGTGTATTAATGTGCATATTACCTATTATCAGCCAAAATTTACGTCAGGCATACGATATGAATAGGAGGGAAAGTATTCTGGATGAAGCCCTCATGAGAGGTCAAATGAAGACGAGAGTGCTAAATTCGTGAATCCCCTGTATACTATCCTGAATGGTGTCGGTAGCTGTCAAGTTCTAAATTATTATTCTGCTTTTCACCATCAGTCGGGGTGTTACTTTGGTAGATTGACAAATAGAACTATAGTCTCCGCTTTTCAAAGCGCCCTATTATGAAAGCAAGCATTCTATATTCAAAGATCAAAATTCTGTTTTTGCCGTAGCATATAAGGTGTGTAACTCATAACTACTTTGTTTTTGTGTCTTAATTTGATGAAAAACGTGTGCACATTTTAAAATCTTTGCTTTTCTGTAAGATTTTAGTTACTGCACTTTATAGTCTGCATAACCTTATTAAGTGATAACTTACGGAATTGATAGTCCAATTGAATTTGTGTAAGAAACATGGCTTTCCTCATATTAGTATGTTACTTACTAATGCTGTTAACCAACGATGTTTACATTGATAATTGGACGAAAAAAGAAAGGCTAATTTTGTGAACCGCGATAGGTTTATGTAATGTGGGATTGAAATACGTTTGGAATTTGGTTTACAATTAATCTCACTTTGGCCAATCCAGTGACTATATGAGCATTCATCCATATACATTTTTACTGTTTCCCTACAACATGGCGTTTCACAGACAATTCATTGGAAAACCTCATCTTCAAGCTAGTCACTAATGAGCGCTACACAGTATTTCATCTTGGTGGTTTGAGCAGATGAACTGATTTCTAGGTGACATTCATCATGGACTGACATCAGTTGGAGAACCTGAGAGCACCGGACAGTGGGGCTTCTCAGCGGTGTCCACCATGATGCCGCCAGTAGTCGAACCCAGGATCTTCGCGTTCCACGGCGAACACATTACCATTAAGTCGCTGTGTCATTCTTTGCTTTGTAACATTGATTAATATAATATGAAAGTGCGCTTCGATTCAATCCAACTCGTACCCTCGTACTCTTAACAAAGTATCGTTTCTTAAGAGATCACGCTCTTATTCCTGGTACTTGTGACGAGATATAATAATAAGCCCACTACGAGACCAAGGCAGTGAGTGTTCACGGCTGATGACTCCCGTAATGGGGCGAGGTAGAATTCTAGTGGTTCACTAATTGACGCCAGTCTGTAAGGTAAACCGCCTTAAAATCAATTGATCAATCTCTGTAACCAACTAATCGGGTTGTCAAAGTATCTACATGTTTTTGCTTACTTTCACGTTTTTTTAGTATTATTTCAAACTGAAAACCATCCACATCCAGAATTACTTCATACCATCTGAAAGAGGGCTTGGAGTATACTGCAAGTGCGATTACAATATGATACCCTCATTGTCATTGTGTAAAGTCTAACTGACGTTTTCAGGTAAATACGGAAAACGCTTCACTGCAAAGTTATATTAGTAAAGCAATCATTTCGATAGTAAATAATCGTCTAGTTACTGACTTGGATTTCATCTGTTGGCTACATCAGATCATCATATGCTGTTATTACCTAAGACTAGGATCCTTTTTGGGACTGGTAAGCTAAAGTTACATGAACCCAGTGAGTAATGGTGTGCTCACTCTAAATTGAAGCCTGGACTTGTCGTTATAAACTCCGTAACGTTATCTATTTGGCTACAGAATAACGACAGCTGTGTCTTATACCAAGAATATCCGTCTAAAATTTTCTGTCGTTTATTTGATTAAATCGAAATTTGTTTTTACTATCGCTATACGGGCTCTTTCAAAACATGCTTCCGTATTACATTGAATTCCATTTGTTTAGTCAATTAATGATACTTTCTTCTTGGTTCTTCGTTTGTTCTCCTTCATCTAGTAGCTGCGTTGTACTTACTGTTTTATTTTCTCACCTGAAAGGATTAAAGTTTGTTTTCTTTTTGAAAATTTTTATGGTGAACTTTGCGTCATTTTTTGGAATTAGGATTTTCTTATGACAACTAGCCGTGTTTCTTATTTATTCAACAGTTGCGCTCGACATACAGTAAGATTGAAATGACTCCTGGTAAAAATATGAACCGGTAATAGACTGATTCATTTTTATCTAACCCTTTAGGGGGATTTTATTAGATAATAAGGAAGTGTAAAATTAAGCTATGCAGGTGGAATATATGAGGAGGACTATTGATGACATGAAAGCGAATCATCATAGTGATATTTTATTGTCTTCGGACTGTGAACATTTTTACTAACCTTAGGTCAAACATTCTCAGTCTCTTATCAGATCTCTTGGATTATCTTGTTAGTATTTCGTTTCTGTTCGCTTCCTCCATCCTTACTTGTGTGATTTTTTGTGGTATTCTGAACTGAATGGTTCTGCTTTCAGTTGGATGTTTTTCATGGGCTACAATATGACGGACCATAAGGGTCTCTAATTAGATAATCTGGTCTTAGTATTTAGGGTGGTTATTTTGCCTGTTGCGTGTAATAATTTAGCATTAAACAAAAATACAATCTTCATTTTTATCGAAATTCCCTCAGTTGGTTGATTAGATTAAAACAAAATCCGCAAATCTGTATAAAGTACTCTGTAGAATGTAAATAATCATTGCTTTCTCAACTTGTCACCTTGATTAATATGTATAGTGTAACCGTTTCCTGGGTAGAATAACTGAGAAACTGTCAATCATACTTTAGGGCCATAGATAGTCATTCCCCTCATCACTATTATCTATCCAACCCGTATATATACATACAGATATATGTGGATCTGAAATGCAAAACTTTCTAATTCAGTTTTAATGTTTAGCTAAGCCACATTCTATCTGAGATGGATGATTGAACAACCTCCAGTTCGTCATACATGCAGATCAAAGTTTAAAACAAAGTGTCGTGCTTATCGTGCCAACTGACATCATTTATTGAGCCTCTCTTACTTAGTGAATGCAATACATCAACACAGATTTGTATTTCATGAAGCCAGAAGACATAACCCTTTAATAGAGATAACATACGATAAACAACTGTCATGCATATACAAGTGTTTATACGTAGTGTGGAATAAATGAGTATAGCAGTAGGTATCAGCCGAAAGACCTGTTTTTCAAGCTTGACTGAAACCTTTGGCAAGACATATCTGCTATCTTGAGCTAGCTGGTGCTGCCTTAGAACTTTACATATTATTTTGATAACCACCCCCCACATATCAAACGAAAATGGTAAATAACTGATTAGTACAAAAACTAAATAAAGATATGCCAGAAATTTGCGACAGCAATTTACCTGCTATATTAATGTCAAGAATGGACAGTTTTGTCACTTGCTATATACAGTGATTAAGGTGTAGTTTGACTTTCTTATCTCAATGTAGACAAAGTAAGCTACAATGAATTTGTTCCTCGATCTGTTGTAAAATAGACAGCGACTGACGTATGGATATGTAAAAACCTGGTTCTTATCACAAACCGCTAGTATTATTAAATTTAGTGCTGTAGTATGACCCTTATTTCTAGTCTGTCTTGCCTATTAGTACTCGCAACAAATGAAAAGAAATAAGACAACTTAAGGTGGATGAATTTCGTTATAAAAGTATTCCATTTGGTCGCAAAAATTACAGGATAATTAGGCTAGGATACTGATCCACTTAACTGTTTGTCCACCGCTTAAATAGGAAATCTGAATGAGTAGGAGTGTAAATTCACACAATCAAAACTGAAAATGACCGCTCACTACACACAGAAACGTGCGTAATGAAAAGGACCTGAATTGAAGTTATTTGACTTAAAAAATCATATTCATGTATACGCCTATTCGTTTATCAGTAAATAAACTTACTGACAATTTGAACTGACTTGAACCATACAGAATAGACTATCCTAAGTGGTAAATGAAAGAATATGTAGGAAATGATGAGAATTATGACAGTGTAGTAATTTTAAGCCAGACCATCCTTCAGTGTTCGCTTGATTGTTCTTTACTGAAAAACAGTTAGGAGGTGAACCACATGACGTGAATATAGTGGTCGTAAATGTAACTTACAAACATAGACTTAGTATTCGGCGATTGAAACTAGTTGATAAGAATCTCTGCTTCATCTATGTTACATGCAAAATGTGCACAGAATCTTGAAGAAAATCATATTACATCACGAGTGATCCATTGTAAAGCTGCACTTTGTGCGCATATTGTATATTCCGCTTAGTATAATAATAGATACAGCATGTACTCGATTGACTTCGGTTAGCATTTTAGTCTTGACAGCTGCGTCGTTCACTGTCCAGTAACAAATCCATGTAAAAGTAGACGTAAAAGAACAAATTAAGTTGTAAAATGGATAAATAACAATAACCGTAGTAACTTTAGTTGCAGTAAGCAATAGTACTATTCAGTTTTTGCTACACATTGTGGAATGGTTTTCTCCCAAAAAGAATGTCACCAGTCTGTATGATAAAGAAGTTGTTACATAATAGAGGTTCGAGTCGGAATTCATCATGTAATGATAGTTGGAGAATGATTGAGAACTCAGGAGTTCTGGACAGCTATTTTGTCTTAGTATGGGAAATCTTAGTATCCTGAGGCATCTGTGGCCTTGAGGAAATAGTTTTTGGTTTCCATTTTAGTTGGTTTCTTATATGTATCACAGCGGAGCGGTATTATCTGCTAGATTACATTTCGGATCTAATTTACTGT